CAACATAAACTAATGGACAGTGCTTGGAGAGAGAAGTCAGGGGTACGATATAGAGTGATCGAGAAAAGAAACAAAGCAGTAATTTACAGTGTGGCTACTGTAAATTTAATAATTGTATTACAAAAAAATCTGATATCTGCCAATTGTTATATTTTATTGTAACAACCATATTGCATATTTATATTAAATATATATTCATGGTTGATAAAAAAATGGAAAAACATTCACTTGTTTCAAGTGCTTATATTATAGAATAGTTCTTTTGGGTTTTTGTTCGAATGTTTGTTTCCCGGTAGCCTTTAGAAAGACTGTATTCGTATTTTGTTAAAATTTACAATATAATAATATAAAAAGTGGATTAAAAATGATTGATTCACACTTTTTAGTTCTAAGCACATGTATTTTGTAAGTAAAAAATTTAAATTTAACATAAATAAAATTATAAAACTATATAACTATATAATACGTACTTACTCATCCATTCTAGAAAGTTTCTGAAAGTCTCTGAAAGTTGTTTATAGTTGTATTCAATGTTTTGTCAATAATTTAGTTTCTCTATTTGCTGCACCAATGTATGAATTCTGATGTCTGATATTAAAAATATATTGACCGTGTAGATATAATAAAATACCATTATTATCCTGTGTGCTTCGCATTTGAGTTAACTTAATTTTTGGCTTATGGAATACGCATTATTTTTGATTTTAATATAAATAACATCGGTGGAGGGGGGTATTTTCGGTGGTGGTTCTGAGGACGGATATAATTATTTCAGGCCTATCACGATTCTGTAAGCTAACATTCGCTTCTAGTGGACTATTTTATAATTGATAATATAATATGATCATTATATATATTTTTATTGTATATAGGTATAGCATAACAATTTATATTAGTTTTGATTTGAACCTGCATGCGGGGGACCCCGTAAATCACGTGACTTTTCGATTCAAAATTCAAACCTTATTAACCTTATGATAACATTTTTCTAATGGGTCGATGGGCAACCATACTATCTTAAATCATGACCGGACCACAGCTTGCGATACGTATTGGGGAATGAATCACATGTACCTCGGTCTTAAATTGTAATTAATAAAAAGTTTCGTACCAAAATTATGGGCATAATATACACAAATCAGTACTAATATGTATATATATCGGCCACTCTCATTATTAGACAGTGTTGTCAGCAAAGGCTCTACTATATATATGAATATTTTTTCAAATAGTTTTGAACTTGTCGACGTAGTAGCCAATGGTTCTTTGATATGCCGATTTTATACATTATTTACAATTCTTTATATATATTTTTTACGTCCCCCTTCATACCTCTCCATATAAACTGTTTTTGATAGGTACCTAAATGTCCCCCGAGTTTCCAGTCGTGAAACTGTTGTAGAATAGTCGTTTTTTCTTCCTCAGTATACAACGTTGGGGGTTGCGTGAAGTTACCCCCCTCCCATTGTTTTATTTAAATCTAGTAGAAATAATAAGTACGCATATTATAATAAGAAATGAAATACCTATTCAAAAAAATATAAGAATAAAGAGGCGAAATAGTTAACCACTCTTCTGTATAATGAGAGTCAAGTTTACCCCGTGATTGAATAGGGCACTGTAATATTGTATACTGTCAAATTTAGAAAAACATTATTAATAGAGAACGTTGAATAGGAGTAGTTTTGGCGATTAAGAGTCTAAACGGCTCGTAAAGCAAAATAAAAAAAATTATTATATTAGGTAATATTATTAGTAATATACAATAAAATGTTAAATTATTATTTTCCGAAAACATCGCATTTATTTTGGTATAAATGATACCTAGTATTTATTTGTAATTAGAATATTGTTATACATAATATAATATGATTAGTTAATATTGAATTGAACAATTTTATTTTTATTTATATTAAAATGAATAAACAAAATATTTAAGGAATCGGTTTAAAAATTGTTTCTAAAGATTTTTTGTATTCATTCTCTGTCATAGCAGTTGTACAAAAGCTAGAAGGATCTGCAAAATAAATTAATATTAGCATTGGTTATAACTATAAAACATAGATAAGCAATGCCATAGGAATATTCGTTGACTAGAATTATAGTTTAATTTATTTTCACGAGATGTCGCTGTTGCATTTGTGACCACTATTAATTAATATATTGAATGATATCAATGGTATAACCTGGTATAACCATTGATTACAATATAATATTATATAATACAACGGACCACGGACTACGAGTGAAGACGGTCTACGGACTGTCTTCAAAATGTAATTTATAAACTAAATAATCATATTCTGTAGAATGTTGTAACTTGAACATAAAAGAACATAAATCAACACATCAATAGTGAGTTATAAAATGGAATATTCTTGTATAAAGTTAGTGAACCACTTTTCACTATATATAGGTATATATTTTGTATATTTAAACCAAATAAATTATTTCATTTAAATTATAATAACACTTATTTAACATATAAAATACAATTTGTCATAAAATTGTTTTTATAAATAAATAAATAAATACATTTTTTCAATTCTATATCGTTTTGAATATCTTAATAAGTATAATTTTTGTTTAATAGTAATTTATTAACTCAATGATAGTATTATTTTTCATTCAGGTTGTATAATGTATATTGTTATGATAGTTGCTAAATATACGTCTGTCTACACTTTTATCTTAACTCTTAAGTAGTAGATTAAATGTAGCTTATATTATGATATCCATATTATGACCGTGCAATGTGCATATCAACAAATCTTAAACAGTTGTGAAAAATAAGGCACCGGATGTTTGGACAATATCGTTTTCAAGGTTCATTATCCCGGTGCGGGATAATGTAGGATAATTTTAATCCAGTCTATTTTAGCGATTTGTGGTAAGTCCATCGAGCATCGTTGATATAAATGCAGTCATAGAAAAATAGGTACCTATATAATATAATGTCTGTGTTAGAATGGACTTTAATCCATTCTATCTTAGTCGTTTAGTTCGTGGTTTACGTATACGTTTGTTCTTAATATATTTTAAGTAACGAATAACAACTACCAGCCACCAGGCATCAGTCGTCGCCTCAGAATGAAAAGGTTCTAAATCAATTTTTTTGAAAAATGGTTTTTTTGCATATAATCATTTATAATTTTGTGTTGTATAATTCAATCTTGAAATCGGATCGATCCGTTGATTATTCAATGAGATACAGAGAATGAAAAGGTTCTAACTCATAAAAACGTGAATGATAAGCGCGAAACCGAGAAATATCAGTTACAACCTTTTCATTCTAAACAATAATTAAGAATGAAATAGTTCTAAACGGTCTTAAATGTAATATCTCAGAATGAAAAGGTACCGTTATAATACGGTTATACCACTGGTACAATATAAATTATTATTGTGCCATAATAAAATATTATTCCAGCATTCCAGCATAAATTTACCGTCTATTTATGTTTTGTTGAGGTGATAAGGTAGTTAATACCTACATGCCACATGTATATAGTACCTATTTTAGTATTATAAGAAATGGTACATTTAAATTTGAATTACGTTTTTGACATTTTTCATTATTGTGAATTATGATTTATGCCGTTTAATTTATATTGTTGCGTTTTCAATATACCCCCCTTCCCTACACTATATCGCCAATGGACCATACAATTGTATTTTATTATTTAAAGTAGGCACATACACAACAAAAAAAATTCCGGGGGTGGGGGGACCCCCCGCCCACTACATACACGGGTATGTTATAATATAATAATACTTAACTTAAAAACTAAAAATATTGCATAATAAAAAAATGTATAATTTATAACATAGTTTACACTAGAAGTTGGTATCACTGCATAGAAAAAATGATTCAAATCAGAATGAAAAAGTTCTAACTAAATAAAAAATTTTATTTTCAGAATGAAAAAGTTCTACACGTAAAACCTTTTAATTCTAAAACTAATATTTTGGTTTTTTATGATTAACTCAGTCAATAATTGAGGAAAGACAAATTGCAGATAAAGTTGTGTTCTTTGGAACTTTCTTGATATTGCATACAATTTTCACGATTTAGTAATTATGGTGAAAAAAGTTATTTAATGTCCTACTTAAAAACGTTCCCCTGAACATTTACATAAATTGCGTTAGAACCTTTTCATTCTGAGACGACGCAGTGTTAGCCGACAGCGCTCCTAACGACTGCCAGTGGTTATCGAATGCCGACAGCGCTTCTAACGTCTGCCAGTGGTTTGCCGACAGCGCTCTGTAGTGGCTATTAGAAATTAATTGTCAACGAATATTCCTATTGCATTGCTTATCTGTGTATTATATAATCAACGATATTAGGTTTGTTGAGTGTGTTCATTAGAAGGCCCTTCCACAGGCAAGTACAGAACTCGATTTTTAAGTTCACAAACCAGGCAAATATTTATTCAACACAAACCCGTTTAATTGTAATTATTTTCAACATGAAAATATTGAAACTTTGTTACATTTCAAAATTAAAAAACATTTTTAAAACGGTCCGATTTTGATAAATCTAACCAAAACCTTTTATAGAGGCAGTAAATGATATCAACATACATTTAAAATACAAATCAATAATATAAAATAACCAAAACATTAATAAGTACACAGTATTTATACATACCTTTCCCAAAGCTATTTGAAACAACTGTAAACATAAGCTACATTGTGAGAGTTTCTTATTGTTTTTGGTAGGTATAACTTATCATGTAACTAACTATCTAAATCTATTGGTAAGTATTTTAAATATTCAATAAACTCAAAGAATAAAATTGTTCATCAGAAAAAAAAATGTTTGAATCTCAACATTCATTTTATTGACATGTGCAATGCTTATCTTACTTGAGTTGCTGTTGATGGACGTATACTTTTTTATTGATCAATACAATTTATTCAATATCAATATATAAGAACTCGTCGTGTCAGATGGATACTGGATCTACATGCTTGCTAACCCAGTGGCAATGGCCCATTTACTGTTGATTACGTGAATCAACTGGTGATATACGATCCAATAATTTCGTCTCAGGAGCCCGTGTCGAAGGAAGATGAGAATCACAGAAGGCCGAATTTAGCTCTCTCAAGCTTAATACAAAGTCATGAATTCCCCGAACACCTCTCAGGAGTATTTCGACCGATAGATGGTCCAGGTTAGGTAAGTGCAAAGGTGTGGTCCTGGCAGGAGAGATCACACCAAGCAGGTGGGAAAGCGCAAGGGCTGTGTTGCGCGGTGACCTGGGTTCAGTCAAACGCTTGCAAATGACTTTGCTTTCGCAGGACGACCAGGTGTTGTGAACCGACTGCATTATGCAGTTAACGGCAAAACCTCGAACTCATCAGTCTGACAGGACCGGAAAACTCAGTTTGTCTTCTAAAAGCACAATTTTTTACCGTAAGACTTAAGCCATCTACGAATGGGCAATGCTGGGTACCAAATACTCAAGTAACGGGTACGTAATATCTTAGTAGCGTTCATCGGAAGTGGGATGGTGGGTGCTAATGCCCACCGGTCGTCATCAGATTGGCTAAATACTGCTAGGATGGTGGCGCTGTCGGGTTCAGAGCGTCCACTGCCTCTTGAAAGCCGATCGCTACAAAGCGTACGGCCACCAGAACTCTGAAGGCGGCAGAGCGGCGGTCGATCTGGGGTTGCTGCTGGTGCCACTGAGCCAGTGTACCAGCGCCCGCAAGGGTGAAGCACCTGTTGCACCCAGGTAACCACCCGTGCCCTCGGGCCGGTCTGACATCCGTTGCCGGACGGGTATCGAGGAAACCGTTTGAAGATATATTGGAAAATCCGTCCCGAATTGTATGAGTTTCGGCGCAAGAAGGCCACTGTAGTGAGCTAGGCAACGGAACTACGACGAGTTGGGCTATAGGAACTGAACAATACGCGTACACATTCACCACCTACCGCTCTAAGACGAGCCACGTTTGCGAAAACTTGCTGACTAATCTAGTCCGGAACAGGAGTGAGTAGTGTGCGGCCTTAACGAAGCTAGCCTTAGAATTTCAAGTTTACTGAACTGCAATCACGAGTGCCTGGGACAGGCCAAGCTTGGTGCTAGTGACTAGCCTACGACCCCCGAGAGTTTTTGTGATACTCGTACCTTCCAGGGTGGTAGAGCCCAGGAAGCTTAGAAAGTATACTAGGCTGCCGCAAGGTTTTGAAGTGGGCACTAAAGGCGTAGGGGTGCTCAAAAAAGGCTACACTCTTAAGCGCCTCTATGGCATGTGCGGCATGCCCATACACGATTGTGCAGAATAATTATGGGCAAAAGGAGTCTCGGGGTTGAGACCGCGGCTGGTGATGTTCTGACTGGGCACAAAACTGGATGAAAGACGAACGGCCAGAAGGCGTCTTCACTCCCCCGGGTCACTTGATGACCCGTCCCAGTCAGTGAGGAGGTCGCATCTCCAAATCGAGCTTTCCGGGTTAAAGGAAACACTTAGAGGTGGTCGAATAGACTGACCGGTGTTAACGGAGAGGGGCCACCAATGAAGGGAAGCAGACTGGTTTGGCAGTTTTCAGTAGATCAACCATTCCACTAATAAACCCGAGAGGTGGTGCAGCTTGCCATACGTAGGTCTCTACGATTGCAGTACATCTGCCAAGAAGGCGAATGCCCACTCATTAACCTCAAAAGAAAGAACCGCACCCACGGTGCAAGAGATGGGAGTGGACCGATCGTGCGATGTGGACAAACAACAAAACTAAAAAGTCGTTTTCCAGGCGTTTCAAGACTGAAACTTACTGATGAAGGGTAAACCTGTTAGGTGTGTCAAAAGACCTCGACATGAGTCTCTAAGGGGACTGAGGTAATGAGGGACAATTTTCTATTCCGCACGGGACCAACCTATCCGAGTAGGAGCATTATGCTGCCCGCGACAAACCAGTAGGTCTATGCGAACTGCATCAGTGCACGTCGGACAATGCAGCCGCAGACCCCCGTTCAAGCCAGCTTACACCCTTGCATAATCCTGACTGAAAATCAACGGGCCCAGTCAACTTGTGGTAAACACGTGCGTAAAGGAGACGGCTAAACCCGATCACTCGGTGCAGATCGCAAAAAACGTATCACTCCAAAAAGATCACGGTCTCGGCAGTAACCCTGTTCTGACGTTGATGCTAGCGGGAAACTATTCGTTGTGAGTACTATGAATACCGATCCTGAAATCTCATTCTGCGGGACTCACGCCCGAACGGTACCAGCGCTACGACTAGCTTTGTGACGCACATCTGGCTGGCGTGCGCATACACTCTGAGTTTCCACGCATACCACCCGCGCGCCAGGGACTTATGTGGACGGCGTCACCTTAGTAGAAGGGGAGGGATTTTTCGGGAGCGTAACCCACCTATCAGCGTCGTAAGAGAGTTTCCAGCGGGGAACCATTCGGGTGCTCGACGTACCTCATTGGAGGGATGAGACCGCGTCATTAAAGCGTGAAGGAGTCGCCCTCACGAAATATGGCCAAAGATATAAAAACCAGGGCATGAAACCGGTTTCGAAATCGATTTTGAATACAGGTTAAAACTGTCAAAAAACCGAAATCGAAATCTAAATAAAAATCGAAACCTCAAAAATAAAATAAAGGTAATCAATATCGAAATTAAAATCGCAAAAATTGAAATTAAAATCAAAAATAAATTAAACCAGTAAACAATATCGAAACCAAAATCGAAAAATAATAAAAAGAAAACCAATATCGAAATAAAATTTTTTTTTTGGTTTTAAGCCCTGCTTAAGTTCCTGCTTTAGTAGTTCAGGAGGCGTTCTGCTTTAACGTAGTATAGTAGTCCATTAGTACCTATACCTATGACCTAGGTTAGGTTTATAGAAATGTAGAACTTAGGAAGGTGCTGTTTTTATTACAGAACAATTGTCTAAGGTTTATATTAAAATATGAACAGGTGAGCTGATAATAACTAGTCAATAACTTATGCATCTCATTTTAAAACAAACTGGCAAAACAAACCAGAAGACCATTTTCAAAAATATATAAACTAGTTTCAAACACAAAACACAATATTTTGTTAATCGTGGAGTTGTATTAATTTGTTTAGAAATAATGATTTTCATATAAGGTATGACATAGACTTAATAGTTATTGCCTATTGGACAATGGTTACACTATTGTTTAATGTTAACTCAAAGATAAATCAAATTATATCTTACATAGTTACATAGGTTATGTAGCTACCTACATAATATTTAGGGTATAATATGTCAATTGCTGTGTTATTACTTATTTATTTCATAGAATATTGTTCGAAAATAGTATGAAAATAAACTTACTTAAAATACAATTGTCAATTCCAACAATCAAATGTTGGGAGAGTTTTAGAGGTGGGCACGTAATTCAACATAGGTTATACCTTATCGTTGAAATTTATTGTTCGTCGTTAATCCACACTAGTTCCGTGAAAACTGTTATATTTTATAACTTTGGTTTCAAACTTTAATATAGGTAAAACTGTTATAATTACATAACATTGTTTTGTATTTGTTTCATAAGTATCGGGGATCTATGGAACATTCTCGAAAACTCCCGGATAAATTACTAGAAATAATATAATGACGTTTTACATGTTATAACACTATAAGCAATCATTTCCTAATCTAAAAACCAAAAATAAATCCAGCATAAAAATGTCTCCTAGGTATGCAGTGCTGCAGTAATGCCATATTGATATTATAATAATATTGTGAATTTGGGCTTTGTGCAGTGTATAAATTATTTTCATAAAATTAAGTAAAATAAAAAGTCAAGTGATTTGATACCCTAGTCCTAAGAAGTAGTTATCTTTTACTCGTATATAGTTATTTGAGAATTTATTTTCATCGATTTAACTGATTTTCTTATTACTGGCTTGTAGTCGTTACTTATTATTTATTAGTAATGACTAATATTTAAATTATGAACTTTTATTGTTTACCCAATTTTAGTCAATAGTAATAAAAAGTTTGATACCGACTTTGAATACTATATAAAATCGAAATTAATATCAATAATTGGATATAGAATTTGATGTGGTTTGATTGACTTTAGGGGGAAGTCACCCAATGGTGACATCCCTTGGAAAATTGAATAACTTACAAATTTAACATCAATATTCAAAATCAAAAACAAAAATCGGTTTTAAAAATTAAATCAGAATAGAAAAAATTGAAAACCTTTATCAATATCGAAATCAAAACCAAAAAAATTTCAAACTGTTATTCAAAATTGAAATTAAAATGGAAAAAAATTAAAACTTTTAACCATTATCGAAATCAAAATCGAAGAAATAAAAAACCGGTAACCAATATCAAAATCAATATCGAAAAAAAAACCAGTAACCAATATTGAAATCCAAATAGAAATTTATTTTTTCGGTTACAAGCCTTATTAAAACTAACGAGGGAAAGGTCTTATACTCTCCGTCACACAGATGATTTAGTCCCATCCTTTTATCTCTACCTTCCAAACTAACGTCACCAAATGGAATACAATTCTTGATAAAAAAAAAACTAGAAGAACTTAAATCACAAGGCTACAATTGAATATCAAACAGTGTAATAAAAAAATTACAAAAAAATTCCCTTGATCTAATTGATTGTATTTTCAACTCCATGCTTTGACTTTCATATTACCCATTAATTTGGAAACTACCAACAGTTAATTGTAAAATACTTGTAGAATACCTAATCCAAAACCAAACAAACCAAAGAATTTGGTTACTTCTTACATAATAATTAGTCTATTATCAACTTTGGCCTTTGGGCAAGATATTCGAAAAGTAAAACTCAATAAAATAAGACCCATTATACAAACTCAAATATCATTCCTAACTTTAAATTTGGTTTCAGAACTAAACACTTTACAGTTCATCACATACATAGGCTAACAGACCTAGATGAAGATGATCTTACGAAAAAGAAAACAATACTGTCCTGGTGTACTTTTAGATGTATCACAAACCTTTGATTGTGTTTGGTATAAAGGCTTGGTGTACAAACTCAAACAGTTAATACCTATCCCTGTGGCTTTCGTAGTTTGAAAGTTTAATGCCTTGTCTCCTTACTTTTGTATACAAGCAAGGGTGCCCCAAAATAGGGACCTCTCCCTAGAACTATTTAACATTTTCACAACCTACATGCCTAATATAACAGATACGGTTATTGCCACATATTCTGATGAAACAGCAATTCTTTCTCAAAGAAATATCCCATTACAAACCATTGATGCATTACAAAGTTATTTGAATTGGTCTTCTAAGTGAATAAGTGATGAATAAAAATTAATCCTGAAAACTATGTAGGTA